GCCGACAAATCTGCGGCAACTGTGTGATGCCATCATGTCAATATGGACCAAAATCTCTGAGGAATGCTTCCAGCACCTTGTTGAATCTATGGCACGAAGAATTGAGGCAGTTCTGAAGGCAAAAGGGGGTCCAACCCGTTACTAGCATGGTGTACCTAATAAAGTGGCCAGTGAGTGTAGATTTAACATATATATTTTACATTTACCATTAAATATGAGAAAAATGCACTAAATGTGAAGAAAGTGCACTGATTTTTTTCTTTGTTTCCAATTTACACTTGGTGCCCCAAACTAGAGCCAGCTTCTGTAGCTGAGGATCAGACCTCCAGGGTCCTCGCCTTCGTCCACTGCCCATTACACAATGCACTCAACCCCTAAGGCCCCTCCCACAGGTGGTGGGCCCATGGGAAAGGGTACCCACATCTTCTCTCCAGGCTGTGTGCCCAGCCAGGCTTCATGTCTCTACTGGCCTGGCCACCAGCTGCTCGCCAACATGCCCCACCTCCAGGCTTGTCTCCAGAGTGGGGCCCCGATGACCTGCGTCCGGGCGAGGGAACACTGAAACCATAGTTAAATTCATCATGAGAGGTCTTTGGGCTGCACTTTATCTGATCCCTCACATAGGACCCATTTGCCTTAGGTGACCCTACTGGGGGCATGAAGCCTCTGACAACACAACTCCTAGGACACTCAAACTTATCCACCACAATAACGTAGCAACCCAGGGAGAGGAGCTTAGAAAGTCATTAATTTTATTAAGAAAGAAATAAAAGTCACTTGATACAATATTTAATCGTGGTGTGAGCAATAAACAAAAACTTTTATTGTTAAAATCCTCCCAGAAACACTGTGATTGAGAGCTGCTGATCAGATCCTCTGCTGCTGAGTTGTCTTTGCTGTGCGCTGTTGAGATAAAYTTTAACTTACTTAAACGTGGTGGAAATTACTTAAAATGTGACTTGTGTTGTTTTGATTTTAATGCATGCATGACTAATTATTATTATGTCCAATAGGAAAGGTTTCTTCATTCCTGCATGTCCCAGCAGGGTTAAAGATTTTATTCCTCCCGGAATCATAGTATAAACCACGATATCCGGTTATTCTAATAAGCTGGCCCCCTCCGTGTTAAAGAGTTTAGATCAGCCACCTAAATGTTTAACGCCTGTGTTGTTTTTAAAATGATTCAAGTTATGGAGGTTTTGTGTTTTCACTGAGAGTATCCGCTGGGGTACAGAAAGTGAAATAATAGATTCTATTGTTTGATGCTGGTTGAGAAACCATGTGTCATTTTGTTGACGACAGTCTGAAAAACTATTTGTTGGTTTGAATTGTGGGGTGAAAACCCATGTCATGTTGTTTTACGTGCTTGTAAATGTGAGGATGTGTTGTCTGTTGTCTTGTGTTCTCCCCACATCTCCCTTGTATGTTCTCTCTGTGTCATTACTTCTCATCTCTCCTTAGTCTGTTTTCCTGTCATCAGTGGTGGGCAACGCTAATCCAAAAATTAGCTCCGCAATTTCTAAAGCGCTAATGAAAATATTTAGGTCTGCAACTTCAAAAGCACTTATGCTATAGAAAAACTAGCAGAAGCTAATTTTAAAGTGTAAGTTCAATTTGACACTTAGTAGCTGGCAATAATTCATGTAAAATATATGCACAACACTGCCAACTAGTGGTATACAAACCCTTTTACAGCTTAATCCTATAACTGCCAATTGCTGGGGATGTGATTTCCTGAAACAAACCTTTGGCTCCTGGTGTAAAAATTAAAACATTGTTGAGGATTGCTAGTTCAGCTGCTTTTTTGTCTTTTTCTTTTGTTTGTTGTAAAATTATCATTAAAGAAGTATCAATAAAGTAATTTTAAAACTGTTTATTGTAAAACTGAAGTGATGCATGTTGGGTACATGATGGATTTGATTTGTGATGGGAAACGAAAGCACGGGGTACAGGAAAATATCTTCATTCCAAAATAAGTGCTTGGATTTAAAAGTTTTCCATGTAGTTGCTCCAGTTGACCACTAGATGTCTGTCTTCATCAGCATAACATCTTTAAACCATTTCTGAATCTCTAAACCCATTGGCCGATTGCTTCAACCAATTACGTCAAGTATTGAGCTCCAGTGTTTGAACTTTTTTTTAAAAGGAGCTCAGATTGTAAAGTAAAATAAACCAATACATACAAAATTTTAGTATGGACATTAACTGTTTTAGCTGGGACAGGGAGTTCTAAACATTGGGTGTGTCCAAAACGGCAGGCCGGGTCCTCCGAAGGCCGAATTCGTCGGCCGCATACGTCACAGCGCCGCGACAAAGGCCGTCCATATATATAAATATATACTGTATATATAAATATATACTGTATATATATATATATTAATTCTGTATTTGTATTATTTTTGTGTATCATAAATAAGTTGTACAATTTGTAGGCCTGTAGCAGCCATTCAGTCACTGAAATTATCGATGMAAGTAGRTTGTAAACTAAACTAGATTATCACTAAAATAAGAATTACTTTACCTGGACATGACTATTTGTCAGTTTGAAATATAAAACACGTCTGCGATCGCGGTATCGCTGATAAAACTGCTGCAGTAGCTGCAGTTCTTCAAAAAATGTGGATCAAGATGAAGAAAAAACTAGCTTCAACCTCCATTGTTAAATCTTGAAGCGCGAACATGTTTGCCAGGTGACCACACTTATGCCGGGTAAGAAGGAATGAAAGCCGAAGGCTAGACCGTCCAAATTCACAGAGACTTTCTTCCGGTCTTTCCGGTCTACTAAGGACCCGGCCCACCTCGACGGGGTAGGCTGGGTACTTCGGAGGACCCGGCCTGCCGTTTTTGACACTCCCATTGCCTTCCTGCTACGTAAGCAGACACAAAGTATTGTGGGAAATAAGAGCCGTGGCCGAAAGCAACAGTCAGCAAGGATGGATACCTTTCCAATTAGTGTGTTTATCTGGGAGGGGTGCTGTTGGACAGATCACGTGTGCTGTGATTCATTGACGGCCATACCTTCTGCTTTTCAAGATAACGATGACTGGTAGATAATTAGATATTAGCGGTACTGCATTTTAATTTTAGAAAGCGTGAATAAATCTGCACATGAATTATAAAAATTTGTAAGACTGCTAAAGCGCAAACAAAAAATTTAGATCCGCAATTAGCGGATTTGCGCTTTAACAGGCTGGTGCCCACCACTGCCTGTCATTCTCCTTCAGTTTATCACTCACCTGACAGTAGTTTGTAATCAGTATCTTCTCCAGCTGTTGTTCATCTTCCCTCATCCTCTGTTTATTCTGGTTCAGTTCTCCACTACCTCGCTAGATCATTGTATGGATTTCCTTCTGTCTCATCTCCTAGTGTTAAGTTTTATTTTATTTTGCTGCCCTGTCAGCTTTTTGTTTTATTTTGTCAAATAAACATTTTTGGTTTTACTCATCATCCGTCCGACCTGGGTTCATTCCTGTGCTAAACACAACAGTGAAAGAGCAAAGGCGATACAGAGTGCAGATTTAATGTTTAAAGTTGAAAAACTTTGTGTGTGCTGTAACTCTATTTGCGCACACGTGGGCATGCCCGCGCACCTGTGCTGTTTGTAAATGAAGCCTTTTGCACTCCAGTTGTTGTTGCTTGCTAAAAGTTAGAGAGTCGTCACCATCTTGAACAGCATCAAGCTTATATGGAAGGAATTTCCTCCTAAGGCGGGACGTCCGACACTAGACTCCTTGAAAACGCCTTCGTTGTCTGCCGTGAAACAAAGTGCTTAGCCCCATCTACATGTCAAGTAAAGTTCCTACAACCAAGAACTTGCAATGATTCTCTTGTAACTTTGACAGCTTCTAAAACTTAATCACAAAAACCTTAAACCAGGTTAGATTAAATGGTCTATTTTTTAATGACATAGCTTTTAAAAACTTTTTCAAAGATTTTGTAAATATGAACTAATTCAAGAGCTTTCATCTTATTTAAATAGTATTTGACTATTAAATGCTTCTCTCTATTTAAACATTTATCT